TTGAGCAGTGTATAAGATGAACTGATAGGGTAGTAAGACATTCTAGAGAAAAAAAATTACAAGACTTAACAGGGTACATGTCAGAAGTCATGGGTAAGGAGAAGAGACAGAGGTATAGAGATGGAGTATAGAGATAATTGGTTAAAGACAACTGCAAGATTATAAGCCTGAGAGTAACAGGATGGTACCACTACCACTAACAGAATGACAGAAATGAGGCAGTTGAAAGGAAATACCGTGGCCAGGCGTGGCTCATGCCTGTAATCCCAGCACTTTGGGAGAAGAGGATCACTTGAGCTCAGGAGTCTGAGATCAACCTGGGCAGCATAGCGAAACCCACTCTCTAAAAAATAAAAAGAGAGGAGACACCAGTATGTTAGAGAAGAACTGTATTTATTTAACATTTTAAATTTCAACTGATGGCAACATGTTTAAGTAGAAAGTCCTGAAAACAACTGACTAGGTCTAAAATACAAAAAAGATCTTCAATATCATGACTAGTTGCCAACATACATGACAGTAGATGTCACACTTAGGCTTGCAAAAAAGATATGCATTTGGGGTTCATTTCAGTATTGGTCTAATTTAAATATATGTGAAATGAGCCTTAAGTATTAAAAATGTACTTTTCAATACTTTTGGTATTTTTCATAAATATTTAGATAAAAAAGAAAGAAAATTCATCTCCTTTTGATAGACAGTTCAGGGTGAGACTGTCCATAATTTTAACTATCCCTTTCCTCCCAAGCCACATTTTTGTTAGGACTAAATATATCATACTCTTTGGCAGTTCCCTTGCTTGCTTTCTCCCCATTCTGAGTTTGAATTTTCTGCATGACTGAGTTCACCTCCAAAATATGAAAAATAAAAGTTTTCTCACTATTTAATAGATGTGTATGATATGGTATCGCTCAGATGATATATGTTTTTATAATGGGCCCTTGACTCATTCAAGGGTCATGCTAGCAATAGACTTCATTAAATGTGATTACTGAAAGCATGGCAATTCATATCGTAATCTTCATTTTAAGAAATAAATAAGGAAAATGGCCACTCAAAGCTCCTGCTGTGTTGGTCAGTCCTACTACTTCACTTTAAGGTGCAAAATGGCTCACCTGTCAAAAGGTTCTCTCAAAACCTATTTCTATCAGAAATGAGCTCCTTATCAAGCAGCAGGTAAGTAAATACCACAAAATACTATTTTCCCACATTTTAAAAGAGTGACTAGTCTGATGATCTGCCAAAAATACAAGACCTTATTTTTAGGGGTAAAAAAGAGAACTGTAGACCCAGGAGGCCGAATGGGGTCTTAAAAGGATTCCATGTAATCTGAAAATTCCACGTATATTTCTATAGCAGGATGAGAATTTTTAACCCAGCATAGAACAGTCCCTTTTATTTACATTTGCTAAAGTGAACCTTGGTAAGATTAGTATTTCCAGTTTCGGGTTTGCCTAATGTAAAGGACTCACCGCATTTATGGAGAAACTGAAAAATGAAAAAGTAGCTTCTAAAACTCTCTCTTGTGCCAGTGAGAACTTGGTAAATGTTAGTTGATTAAATATTAGTCAAAGATGACAAGGTAGACCTCAGGGACGGCAGAATCATTTCCGATGGGTCAGTGTTATTCAGCTACGGGCAGGGCAATCGCAGCGACGCGGGCGGCAGAGATCGGCCACTGCTCTCGAGGCCGCAGGGGACAGGGCAACTCGTCACTGTTCCCAACCATACAGTGTGCTCTGGAGTCCCGGGTAAAGGGGGTCGTTTCTAGGAGGGCTGCGGAGAGCAGAGAGGCCGGAGGGACAGCTTGGGATCTCGTCTGAGAGGTAGACTATGTAGCCCCGAGCTTTCAGAGTTGGGCTGGGGCGGCGATCGCCGTGAGAACTGACGCGGAGGTGCCACGTAGCAGCCCTAGGGGTGCTCTACCGCGTGTGCCCCACGCTAACGCACGGGCTGACTCAGCGAGGCCGGGACCGGTGCGCTGGAGACAGAAGAATCCGCAGCGCCTACCCGTGTACCCGGCCGGCGCGCGCACGCAGGGAGACACCGCCCTGCTTGCCTTCTGGCTCCCGGTGACTGGTGGTTACCAGATGGTAGGGGAGCACGGCTACAGGCACTATTGGCTGGAAACAACAGTCACTCAAAAAGCCAGGGATGGGAGGGGCCTCCTCAGGGAGTGACAAGACTGAGAGGCTTTTTCAAGGCCGTCAGACGCCATCTTTAGTTTGTTTTTGTTTACTTGCTTTTGTTCTCTGCTGTTCACAAAGCTGCGTGTACACGATTATAAGCACAGTGGCCACCGATCGGCTTCACCCATTGGGTGGTGGACAACTTTTGGTTACTGCTGGCCTTGGTTACATTTCTTTCAGATGTCACCTGCAAACTAGCAATTCCTCATAGTACAAAGAAGTTTCCATATTAGGGGCCCCAAGGATTCCCAGGTAAATGAAGAGTTTAGTTTTGTTTTGCTTTGGAAGGCCAAGCCAATTATATATATATATATACATATGCGAGGAAGTCTTTCCTTTCTTAGAAAGAAAAAGAACAGTGGATATGAGCCTACGTTCCTGGATGTAGAAATCAAATAGCTTAGGAAATCAGGGACACGGGCTCTGCACTGTTCTAGGGAGAGTGTTCCCTATTTTTTGAGAAGCTAAAAAGTGAGGTAAAAAGTATACGTGATGACCTGTAGTGATGTGGAAAAGAGTTAAAAAGGGTAAAACTCCATTAAAGAGTCCTATCGCTAGCCCGACGTAGTGGCTCACGCCTGTAATCCCAGCACTTTGGGAGGCTGAGGAGAGCAGATCACCTGAGGTCGGAAGTTCGACCAGCCTGACCAACATGGTGAAACTCTGTCTCTACTAAAAATACAAAAATTAGCCGGGCGTGGTGGTGCATGCCTGTA